TTTGTGGTCACATTTATGTGAACTATTGAGCTGACTGTTGATTGCTTTTTTAATTCTGATGCAAATATGATGTTTTAATGCCTCAAACAATTAACCAATATCCCTTTCGTTACCCACTATGAACACACTTTTGCAACTGATGCTTCCTACCCCTCACAAAGTTCTTTGTTTCTATTCTACCGCTGTCACTATCCGTGACTTTCACTGAAATACCCATTTTCTAAAATACGTCCAAAAGCCTCTTCAATTGAGAATCCTCCCAGCTTCAACATATACTTATTTGACAACTTGGGGAGTTGGAACCACACCATCACGAGCAATTACAACCTTATCTCTTTATCCTAAATTGGTGAGTTTGTCAAACAGATTGCTCTAATTCTTCAACTTTTTTTTTTTTTCGGTTGCGTTCGATATGGATGAGATTTTTTGAGTGTTTTATTAGTTAGTTTTTGTTGGGTATGATGGTTATGATTGAAATAATACACTCTGAAAAATACACATACTCATGGGTTAATGACAATTGTTACAAGTGTTTATCATGTAAACTAAAATGTGATATTTGAATATCACATTTTGTCAAGAGTGTCCAAGTCGGTTTATGTCTATTTCGACTAATCTCCTATTCAATTTGATCAAAGACAACTATTCACGCCGAAATTAAAATATTTATGAGAGATAAATCTCTTATCACATAATCTTTATAGATTATCCATACTTTATTTGGTATAGAAAATTGCAAAAATTAGAAGTGAGTTTTCTTAAATGTACTTGTTTAGAGATAAGTTTTACAAGGAAACTTATAAAGGACTAAGTGCATATTTAAAATTATATATAATGATTCAAGTCCACTTTTTTTTTTATCTCAAAAATGTCCTTTTTTGAAAAGATATTAATTTTTTATCTCTCATATCTATCTATATGCATATATAGATTAGAGTTAATCTCATTTTACACTCCGAAAGATTGTTCGAATTTCAATTTACACCCTCAAATATCAAAAATCTCAATTTACACCCTCAAATATCAAAAATCTCAATTTACACCCTCAAAGATAGAAATTTGTATCAAGGTGCACCCCCAAAGATCAAAAATCTCAATTTGCACCCTCAAAGATAGAAATTTATATCAATGTGTACCCCAAAAATAAAAAATCTCAATTTACACCCTCAAAGATAGAAATTTGTATCAATGTGCACCTAAAATTAAATTGATAAATTATACTTAAATCCCCTCATATTTGTCAGTTAATCATTTAGATCTCTTCACATTTAGAATATTACTCCTACATCTTATGACATTTGTGCATGTATAACACGTAACTCATTTTCATTGATATCTATTAATATAACCGTTAAAAAATATAATTTTATCCTAATAAAAAATTATAATTTTATATTACCCTTTATTTTATACGTTCAATATACTATAAAGTTTAAAATCTAGTTTACCATTTGAATGTCTAATAAAATATAAATATTTATATAATATTTTTCATATTACCTTTTATATAAATATCTACATTTTATTAGACATTCAAATGGTAAGCTTGATTTTTAACTTTAGAGTATATC